GCAATTTTCTTTCCGCCCCCCTAATTTTTTCCTTCCGGTACGCCCATGGGATCCGGAATCCAAGCAGTGGGATCCGGAATCCAAATACCTCCTGGATTACCTCACATGGGGCGATCAACCGTTCGGGCAGTACGGGAAAATATCCAACCTCGGTCTTGCTGTATTGACCTCGCTATCGCTCGGTCAATACAGCAAGACCTCGGTTGGATATTTTCCCGTACTGCCCTCACTCTCAGTCAGTAAGTTATTAATATTTACGTTTGTAAGAGGTGACGGAAACAGGCTTTAATTAATATTAACAAAGACATTAACATTTATAATTTTATTTAGGATGAGTATTTATTATTTAATAAACAATTGGTTGCAAAAACAATGTTTTGCTCAAAGATATGTTAGATCAAAATATTCTCTTCAAAACTGATATACTATATTAAAAATTGAGACCTAGGTTTTGAACTTTACTCCCTTTTGTCCTTTTAAGCAATCAACATTTCAATATACTGTACCCTAGCTGTACCATGTTTCGAATTAAGCCATAAAACAGCATATGTGGCAGCAGTGCATGTCTCAATTGTGTGACCAGTGCAATTGCAGTTCAAGCAGGTATTAGTTCTCTTCACCTTAACACACCCAGCTGCCTCAAGGAACTGTACTCGGTTTCTTTTAAGGAGAAGTTGTTCTACGGCAGAAACACCTCCATGCAGAATTTTTAATCTGAAGAAGTTCTTGAAGGCTATGCCATTAAAGGAATACCGAATAAAGGAATAATCATGATTATTATTAGATAACATTGATATCGAAGGAACTAGATTCTGTTCCGAAATATCACATACTCGAGCATCATTTGGTAATTGTTTTATAAAATAACTACAGTGAAACAATGGCATTTTGAGAATCTCCCGAAAATCCCGCGAAGGCATTTTAATTCCTCGTGCAGGATACTGAGGATAGCCTGATCCTGCACGGCTATTGAGCAATCAAATTGTGTGTTTTACTGTAGTTATTATATAATATATTTTTCCGTGCCTTGTTATGTGAAGTATTCTATGTTTTCGTAAAAGGCAAGAAACTCAGGAACATGTAAACAGAGGGCATGCATCCGCGGCGTGATATCCTTCGTTTGGTATAGACTAACAACAAGAAATTTTGTTTGCCAGTTTTTGGCCTTAGTCCTAAAACTGTTCGCCTCACCAAACTTAATTGCTTGTTTAAGATCATTTGCAATGTCGCGAACGTCATTCCAAATTAATTTGTTGAACAATTTCGTTATTACGTAAATTTGGCAAAAGTGAAGAAATTTGAATATTTAAATAATCTCGGCCCAGTTAAATCTCGATAGTCCAATTGCTTGGATTCTTTGCTCACATGAAAGTGAAATGGTATTCCTAGACTTTGGATATAACTTTCATACCCAGCCATATACTTGTATGGCTTATTCCTTGAAAAGTTGTCTGTAAATGTCTTCCTTTTGTCAATTGCCGTCACAAACGCTCAATTTTCGAATAGGTAATTGGATAAGATTATCGCCTATCCGGAGGTAAACGTGGAGTGTGTCAATACGTAATACATGACTGAGAAATAAAAATAAGAGTGCATGGTTGCAATTACATTTCCTTGATTTCGAATTGTCCCTTAATTCTTCCAATGTTCTGGCTCCAAACTTTGGATCCATGCAGGATAGACCAGACTTTATTCGTGTTATACCACGTCACGTGCAAGCATAGTCAGCATTAGGGAGAGCCTATATAGGTTAGGGTTGTTTACCATTTACATGGAAATTCCGGTGATTCCATACGGAATGTAAATGGAACAAGCATATTTCGACGGCCCAACCGAAACTTTTCCGGAATAAACGGTTTGTTTGAAAAGGTTGTCCTCTCTTACCGATTGGAACGTTTCAACCGGTGAATTTAGTTCCATTTACATCTTTTTTATTTTTGCACCAGTTCCAGGCTCTTCGCGATTTAATTCAAACCGAATGGGTTTTCCATGTAAATGGTAAACAACCTTCAGTGCCTTTCAGTCAGTCACTCTAAATTGAAAGCGCATAATCCGAATGGGATTTTCTATTCGAAATTTTGCTTACCATTAGCACAATTTCAAACCGGATGGGTTTTCCATGTAAATGGTAAACAACCTGGTCTTCACGTTTCCGGGAACGGCAGACGGCAGGTACCGGTTCGAAAGTTCTTGGCAAAATTTTCGTTTGAACGTTTTCTCTTCATATTTTCTTTCTTGCGTTGAAAGAATAATTATGTATTTCAGTTTTAAAACAGCAAGTTTATTTAATCTTTATTGCCTAATACCGTAAAATTTTTCTTTGCCCTGCGTTTGCCGTTTGCCGTATAACGCAAAGCTTAAACTCTCTATTAACAGCCCCAATTCCACAAACAGAAGTAAAAATCTTCCAATCTCCACAAGGGAAATATTCAATTTAGTAAATGTTATCACTACTTTTGTCATTTTGCTCTCCTCCATTTATTTAATTAATTAAGTCCGACAAACCGACTGACAAAACATCATAGCTTTTCTTTTCTTTTAATACTGCCAGAAGGTAATTTTCTCTCTCACTCATAGCCCGTTGTTTTTCATTCATAAATGCATATGTTATGTTTATAACACTTAATCTCTTCCCAACATTAGTTCCATCACCACTTACTTTTATCCTAATCATGTTTCCAGGTTTCAGTGTGCCATTGCCTCTTAGTCGCTTAATTTGTTCTGAAAGACGTTTCCTAAAACTAATTATATTCCTTGTGTGTCTTCGGGGGTAGACTTTAAGTCCAATTTACTGTTTAATTTGTTCATATATGCTTAATGTCTACAGTATAATGAGCTTATTTAAACAAGGGGGTCTTCGGAGTTTATAGCTAAACTCATTTCGCGCCTCATTTGAAACGTCTGTTTTAGCTGGAGCCACTTAATCAAATAATTGACTCCAACTCCTTCCATTTCTTTCTCTTCTTCATTCCCATCACCCACTGAACCTTCAGTATTAATTAAAGGTAAAAATGTCAACTTCCCCAGTGTCAACATTGTATAACTCAACCCTTGACGGAACAGATTGGTAATGGCCGAGGAGGGACAAGACAGTTTCACATTGGGCTTCTAATTATTTCCTCAAGATTTGCTTTTGGTGTTGCTTCGAGTACTCGTTCAAGCTTTTCTTTGATGGACCTCTCACCTTCTTATTCGCTGTCGATCAACCGTGCAATTGTTTTACCAATTGTTTAAATTTAACTTTATAGGCAATTTTTTTAATAATGGTTTTTCTAGACCATTTAATTTCTCTTCAACTTTCACCCTTTTGGCAGATTCCATTTCCAAATAATTTTCTAGTAATCTCGCCCTTCAGTTCTTTATTTTCGTTTAATTAACAAATCCAGCTTATCCGTTTCGATTCAAGTTTATTATAGTATATAGTTACACTATGTGACGAGTTCTGTCATGTGTTTAAAAACCGCTTGACTGGTTTGAACACCTTTAGCACGTTTGAAAGCAGCGTGAAGAGAAATCATCTTTGTCTTGAATGCTTGAACTAAGCATCAGCTAAGCGTTAAACCTCGTAGCCCACTCTCCAGAAGGATGGTATTCACAACAATGGCTAACCAAGATGTTCTTGTCGCTTGTACTCTGTTGACAATTTGTAAATCAAGAAACTGCACGGCAATCAGTAAGATATATACGCATTAGTAAACAGAATTTCCCGATACCTCAATTAATAAAGACTACTACTGCACGAACGTAAACATAAAATTCACAAACTCACTTTCTTATTTGGTGCACAAACGAAGGTAGAGATTGACTCTGAGGTTCTTTGGATTAAAATTTACAGCAGCAGGAACCAAACCAGACCCAGAGAGAATTGAGAACATGGTTAGAGTACCAGCTCCCAAAACTGCGGGAGAAGTTAGATGTTTTCTGGGAATGGCCAACACTTGCCACGAATACATTCCAGATTATGCAACCTCTAAGCTAGAGAACTAACCAAGAAAAACATTGCGTTTAAGTGGGAAAATAGACATCAGAAAGCATGTGAGCGACTGAAAAAGAAACTAACGAGTACCCCATATATATTTTGATACAAAGAAACGAAGTCTAGTATGACTAGTAATCCTTATGGAATTAGTACTAGTACTTATGGAATTAGAAAGAACATCACAGTTCCAGCAGTACAAAATCCTTTCATATGCAAGCAGAGCACTCAGCCCAGTTGAGACAAGATAATCTCAAACAGATATTAAAGGACTTAGCTTAGTATGGGGAATTGAGCATTTTCGAATGTTCTTGATTGGATCGGAATTCGATGTGATAACTGATCATAAAGCATTAGAATCTATATTCAATAACCCAAGATCCAGACCACCAGCCCGCATCGAGAGATGGATCGGATGATGCAATTACAACCATTCAACTTCAAAGTCATTTACCGCAAAGGATCCTTAAATGAAGCCGACTACTTAGGGTTACTCCACATGATCGAACATGATGAAAGTACATTTCAGGAAAATGCTTGCCACGCACTAAATTTTTAGGTTCCCCCCCTCAAATTTGGCATTCACAACGATAAATCATTGCTGCTGCTACTACTTTAACAAAAATTATACATTTTGTAAAACTATGGTTGCTACGAGCTGCTTTTGAAAATCTGACGCGCTTCGCGCGACCAGCTTTAGAACCATCCGATTAAACTCAGAAGCTTCCGAAATATCACATTTCCCATGTTAAATGATCAAAGAACAAAACCGTGTTCGTGTTTTTTGACAGGTATTATATTTGCCGAGATATAAGGCAGATAAGTTGACTCATCAAAAATTTGCAATAACGATAGAACAGAAGCCTATAATTTGAAAACTAAAGCATTAAAAGAAAAACGCGAACAGTGTTTTGCTCCTCTAATATTAATTTTTCTGTGTTGGTGTTGTGTACTCAGGTGAATAATATGTTTGCGATGTTACTCTGAGTGCATATCCACACCGGGCGAGCTTGAAAAATATGCCCGGCCACGGTGGGATTCGAACGTACGACCTTTGGAATACTAGCCCAATGCTCTTCCAACTGAGCTACGCGGTCAGGACGGTTCGAGTAAGTGATATTTCGGAACAGTATCTAGTTCCTTCTATACCTTCGTGGCCTTCGTGGCCGGGCATATTTTTCAAGCTCGCCCGGTGTGGATATGCACTCAGAGTAACATCGCAAACATATTATTCACCTGAATACACAACACCATCACAGAAAAATTCATATTAGTAAGAACACATTGGCAAAACTCAGCAAAACTTGCGGCGAAACGCAAAGGCAAACAAAGCAAAGCTACGCAGCCTTTTGATTTTCTAGGCATAACGCTCACGCGTATATGTTTGGCCTGAAGATTGATCACTTTTAAAAGCGGCGTTTTACTTGGAAAGCAAATTTCAATGTGTTGTGTACAATCCTGTTATTACACTATATAGCTACTATATCTAACAAACAAGCCGCCCAATGTTGAATACCGCCTGTTGTCATGTTTATTCACAAACTGCCAATCGCAATTAAAACTTTCCAGTCTAATTTTTTGCGGTTATATCTCAGTTGCATTTTAATATTTTTAAAAAATATTTGCTGAAGTGGAAATATCTCTAGCCCCTCGATATAAATCGACAAAAATGTAAAAGAGGGCAAAATCAATGTTTTCATCATATGGAGTAACCTTAAGTAGACATCAAGCTGTCATAGAGAGAGAAAACTAACCAGTACACCAGCAGAAGAATATGTGAACTATGTTCCAAAGTCAATGACACTTGACGAGATAAAAAAGCAACCCATAACGATCCAGTACATTACAAAAAGTGAAGAAATGTCTGAAAGAGGGAAAATGGGATGAGAACGATCCTGATCTTAAACCGTTTAGACTTTGTGCCGACGAACTTACGTACCATGCATGATCAGCAGGTATACTGTTGAGGAACACACGGCTGGTCATTCCAACAACATTACAAGAAAGAGCAACAAAATTAGGTCATATCGGGCATAAGGGAATTGAGAAAACGAAAAGCCTACTACGCGAAAAGATCTGGTACCCAAATATGCATGGACAAACGAGTGAAAGAAATGGTAGACCAATGCATTCCTTGCCAATCAGTAGGTCACGGTAATAACTCGAAGCCAATGAAAATAACACCAACCGAAGACAAACCATGCATGGACTAGTGTAGCAATAGACTTCTATGGTCCAGTACCCCGAAATGGTCAATACCTGCTAGTGGTTATCGATACCTATTCAAAATTCCCAGAAGTAGAAATAGTCAACTCAACCGAAGAAAAAACTTGCATACCAAATTTAGATACGACATTTGCCAGATATGGAATACCATCAAAAATAAAAACTGACAATGGACCCCCATTTAATGGGAAAGAATTTGAAACATACGCCAAAACCCTTGGCATTGAATGGAAAACAATTACACCACTATGGCCCCAGGGTAATGCTGTCGTAGAAAGATTTATGAAACCAATGGGAAAACTCTTGAAAACAGCAGAAATTGAAGGAATGAATAGGAAGCAAGAACTGCAAAGGTTTCTACTTCAATACCGTTCAACTCGTCATCAAACTACTAAGGGCGCTCCGTGTGAACTACTTTTTAACAGACAAATTTGGGATATTTACCAGAACTCACAAGGAAAAAAGTAGTTCATAGACACATGCAAGAGGGCGAAGCAGAATTTGGAGCAGCAGAAAGAAGAGAACAAAGAGTACTACGACAGGAACAAAATAACAGAGGAAGCTGGGGTCAAAAAGGGTGACATCGTCATTTGCAAACAGAAGAAGTACAATAAGTTAACATCAAAGTTTGATCCAGACTGACATTATACGGTAGAACAACGTAAGTACAACACCATCATAGCTAAAGACGGTGACAAGAAATGTCTCACGCTTTAAGAAGGTATTAAAGGAGGAAAGCGAGGAGGAGGAGGAAGATACAGCGCCGGGAAGATCGACGGAAACAGGAACCAGCACAGCAAGAACCAAGCCATGTATGAGTCAATTCCAACTGCGATCATCCCCCCCCCCCCGGGCGAACCCCTGGGATTTGACCAGAGGTTAATCCTGCATAGGCGGGAATTTGACGCGAAAACATTCTCGCACCGTCGGCATTTGACCCCTTTCATTTGACTGATTACTGGCGCAAAATTGGCCAGCGGTCGCGCTAAGTGCAGGTGTAGACACGTGATTTTTTTTCGCGTGTATAAAAACATACTGCACGGCGTGAACATTTTTTATATAAAATGCCGTTAGGCCAATGAAAGTTGATATCATGTTTCTCGTCCACAATTTTCAAAACTTTGCAGTTGGAATTGACTCGTACATAAGGAGATCAACAAGAATGAAAAGACCGGTAATACGATATTAGTACCAGACTTGATGTTATAAACAGTCAAACGATATGAACGTTTAAATTATAAAAACATCAGACAACGTCGATTTACATAAGTATGAACACAAGACAACGACATTTTATTAAGTGGTTGACATTCAGTTAAAAAAAAATAGAGGTAGAGTATTATAGTATTTGTAGGATGCGATAAATTAATAAGGCCAAATAAAAAAAATACTTGGTTAGCGTCACACTCTCACAAATTTTCAGAGGCGGGCGGGCGGATTTTTTTTTAAAATTTTTACTCGTTTTTTAATTTTTTAATAGTATTTTTGGAGGGGATGGGGGCGGTTTTTCCACCATATCGGTGATATTTTTTGTTCTGAAGTTGCGAAGGCCGCCATTTTGCTTTAAGAACCTTGTATACCCAAGCCTACGCTCTCCTATCGATCAGTATATAGCGCGAAGGTCTGAGCATGAGAAAATTTCAAATATTAAACTGTTTTAAGCTGTAAAACGAAGAGATTTACATAAAAAAAATAAAAAAAAAATTCAGAGGCGGCAGAAAATCGAGAGGCGGGCGGTGACGCTAACCAAGTATTTTTTTTTATTTGGCCTAATTAACTTCTAAGCGTGCAACAAACGTTGATTGGCATTTGTAATAAATCATTCATTCAGTGTATTCTACAGAACTGTATGATTTATTTCCTTCTAATTCATTTCATCATTTGGAAGAGAAGAAATGGCTATATTTTTCATTTTTACAGTTCGAGTGATTGAAATGAGTGGAGGCAATATCGAATATCATGTTGAATGTCATGTTGAATCTCATGCGTACTTCACAGTGGTGTATAATTTACCAGTTTCTATTCTGTCATTTGGACGTTTGGACAACGTATAGTGTAGTCACAAAATGGTATATTTATAGTCACTAGCCAAGAAAATTTTCAAGTATTAAAACCGTTGAAAGTCTTTCTGTGTAATGCGGAAAACGTGATGGTAAGTGAAACAAGCGTTATGTTTATAATTAGTTGATAAAGTATAAATTAAAGTTTATTATTTTACGATATAAATTGTCTTGCTATTAATATTATAGATGAACGTTTGTATATGTTCATCAAATATAGACTATAAATATTATATATACTGTAGTACTAGTAGTAGCATTGTATATGAACACATCTTACTGAATGAGAAGTATACAATTTACGGATTTTGCATGCTTGTATCCATATTATGCAACTACCTGAAAAAGAACAAACGTTTGACGTTTCAAACTGCAAAGCTGGGGCTTTTTCTTGAAACGTCAATTTGTTCTTATATTTGTAT